AAAAAACACCACTCTGATGATATAACTTTTTCTTGTTGTCATTCCAGGTATCCATTCCTATTACCTATACTGGAGCAGGAGTATGTGGCCAAAAAAATTTTTAACGCTATTTTAGAGGAACAAGTTTATGTAGTAATACCCAGATTTTTATGGTTTACATTGGTCCTTAAACAGTAAGTTAATAATTAACTCACTATCATTTTGGCTCCTTCTGAACAAATTGTCCAATCATTGCTACATCTTTCGCCTAGAAGGCAACTTCATATTTTTTTTAAATGAGAGAAAGAACCTTAACAGTGCAAGGACAACTTGTTGGACTATTGCTACCTGTGTCTTGCTTACTTCAGACACTGACAAAATTTAGCAACTATTTAGGCCTTGCAGAGCACACATTATTTGCTCCAACACAGAAACAAACAGCACCCAAATTATGTGGGGGGTTTGTTTATGTTTTTGTTTCTGGCCAATTATGTAGTTTAACTAATGTCAACTTCTATTTTGAAAACAAAGGGAAAAAAAATCTGAGTGTGTTGCCAGAAAATATTAATGGTATTTGGCAAGTTCCTCATGTCATGTATGAAAGTTCCTACAACTTCATACAAAGCCCATGCTATGAGCTCCAGGTATTTGTGGATGGATTCGGCCCAGGCCTACATCTAACATTTATGGAGTGCCTACTGTGTGCCAGCTACAACACTGACAGCTTTGCATGAATTTTATCTCATTTAGGGAATCTGAGGTTTAAAGAGAGTAAGTAATTTTTGCAGCTAATACGTGCTGGAACAAAGTTTCAAACCAAAGTCTCCAATCTGATTACAGAGCTTAAGCTCTTACCATCAGGATATACCCTCCCTGCAATAAGTGCTAGCAGAGTAGGACACACAAGTAGAGATTCGCTATTGTAAAATTATGCTCTTGATACATACGGTGCTTTCTTTACTATTTATTCAACATATTTCCTTTTCATCTTTAGCTGCCCCGGTGGCTTCACTAGGTCAGAATCCTTCCTTGTACCATCCCGCCACACCTGTCTGCCTTCTGTAGCACTCAACACACTGGTAGTCACTTGCTGGCTGCATGCTCCCCGAGGACAGAACACATTTTCTGAATCGTTTCCTGCTCCATACTCTGGCTTAGAGCAGTACCTAACATATAATGATCATACAATAAATATTTGCTAAATTGAGTTGAGCAGAGCTAAACTGATCTAAGCAGAAACAAGCTGAAGATACATCCTCTATCCTCAAGGAACCAAAGCAGTGGTCCTCATTAAAATCACCTTGAGAACATTTAAAACATGGCCCTACCTCCCAGAGATTCTGCTTTNTTGAGAGCCACTGGTATTGAGGAAGTTGGTGGCAGTTGGTGGGACACAGCACTTCCCTGCTCACCCCTCCCATTAAGTGACACATGCATAGCATGGATCATGACATTTCAGACTGTGTAATTTGTACTTAATCTGTGCAAAGTAATCTCTTCGAATTCTCTTAAAGGATCATCTTTTTTTTTTTTTTTTTGCTTTTCTCTAGAATAATATCTTCAAAAATGGTTGTTGCCCTTGGTGAATATCTTGGAGTGGACTCTTGCATGGCTTCTGTCAGAGGGGAATAGACAGCAAATGAACTTCAGACTGAAACGGAGAGGAGACACTAACAGCTCAATCCTCAAATGTGGTAACAAATGAAAAATATTACAAGGTAGACTATTTGGAACTCCTCCTGATGCTTTAAAGCATTCCAGTCTATTAAAGATTTCAAAAGTGCCAGCTTATTCCTAGGACATGTTTTACCACTTGTATTATTTTCTATTGCTTATAACAAAATACCTGAAACTGGGTAATTTATAAAGAAATGAAATTTATTTCTTACAGTTTTGGAGGCTGGGAAGACCGAGCTTCAGAGAACACATCTGGTGAGGGCCTTCTCTGGGGCTCTGGCTTAGAGCAGTACCTAACATATAATGATCATACAATAAATATTTGCTAAATTGAGTTGAGTTGAGCAGAGCTAAACTGATCTAAGCAGAAACAAGCTGAAGATACATCCTCTATCCTCAAGGAACCAAAGCAGTAGTTCTCATTAAAATCACCTTGAGAACATTTAAAACATGGCCCTACCTCCCAGAGATTCTGCTTTAATTGCTCTGTTTTGCTTTTCTAGTTTTTGCTACTGTTTGTTAGCTTAGTAAATAAGATGTCCATGATCTTTCCACAAAACTCAGTGAGTGTGATTTATGGATAAGCTGTGATCTAAACATTGGGACTTTTCAGAGCTCCAGGGAAGATTCTAAGGTACAGCCAGGATTGAGAGCCACTGGTATTGAGGAAGTTGGTGGCAGTTGGTGGGACACAGCACTTCCCTGCTCACCCCTCCCATTAAGTGACACATGCACAGCATGGATCATGACATTTCAGACTGTGTAATTTGTACTTAATCTGTGCAAAGTAATCTCTTCAAATCCTCTTAAAGGATCATCTTTTTTTTTTTTTTTTGCTTTTCTCTAGAATAATATCTTCAAAAATGGTTGTTGCCCTTGGTGAATATCTTGGAGTCGACTCTTGCATGGCTTCTGTCAGAGGGGAATAGACAGCAAATAAACTTCAGACTGAAATGGAGAGGAGACACTAACAGCTCAATCCTCAAATGTGGTAACAAATGAAAAATATTACAAGGTAGACTATTTGGAACTCCTCCTGATGCTTTAAAGCATTCCAGTCTATTAAAGATTTCAAAAGTGCCAGCTTATTCCTAGGACATGTTTTACCACTTGTATTATTTTCTATTGCTTATAACAAAATACCTGAAACTGGGTAATTTATAAAGAAATGAAATTTATTTCTTACAGTTTTGGAGGCTGGGAAGACCGAGCTTCAGGGAACACATCTGGTGAGGGCCTTCTCTGGGTGGAAGCTCTCTACAGGGTCCATAGTGACTCAGGCAATCACGTGGTGAGAATGGCCCGAGCAAGAGTCAACCTGCTCACTTGCTCTCCTTATGAAGCCATCAGAACCACTCTCTGATAACCCATTAAACCATTAACCCATTACTCCATGAATGAGTTAATCCATTCACCAGGGCAGAGCTCTCATGATCCAATCACTTCTCAAAGGCCCCACCTTTCAAATACTATAATCAGATTTCCCACCCTCTTAACACTGTTACAATTGAGGTCAAGCTTCAGTGAATTTGGGGGGCCTATTCAATCCACAGCAATACCAATTATTATTGTAAGCATTCAAATTATCGATCCAGTTTTTCCTATAATTTTTTAGTTTGATAAATAAGGACATTGCAGTCTTTTCAGTGGACTCTGAATATAATATATTTACAAAAACATATTATTGCTAATTGATCCTAATTTACTTTTTAAATAGACAACATATAACACTTTTTTTAAAAAGATAATTATAAATAATGACCTTGTAAATCAGAGTTTAAGGCTGGTAATTTTTAACTTCAGGTTTAAAGATACACATTAGTTTTGTAATTTAAAAAAACAATGTTTACCTCACAAGTGAAGGCTAATTTGTGTTACCTATTAATTCCTAGTAGTGTTAGATGAACATATTAAGGCACTTAGTGGGATTGAACTCGCTTATTTGACAAAATAAATCTGTAATGCACCATTTTTGTCTGCATCTGAGTATGTCAAACAATTCCTAGCTCCTTTACTTCATAAGAAAAAAAAGTGCATATTAGACTTCTATTTACTACTGGTTTGAGAACAAAACTGATTTTCATAATTCAATAAAATACTGCTTCAATTGACATATTTGAATGCACAATATTAAATCCCTTTTTAAAATCATTTATACTCAAGAGAATGAGCACCACACATGCCGGCCACTTGACAAACATCCCCACCAATGACACCTTCTGGGTTTGGAATGGTTCCTGAGCCGTAGGTAACCACTACACATCAATCTAGTTTTGCCTCTATCAGGTTCAAGAGCTAGCGAGTAATGGTAAAACCAAAGACCGAAATTTCAAGTAAATTAAAGTACACATTCACTTCCTAAGATCTATCCTATTATTTGGGACATAATATGTCTACATTCATGTGAAGAAAGCATAGTTTAACTTGAGATGCAAAATCCAGAGGAAAATACTTTGACCTAATAGAGGAATAAAACATTCCAAACAAGCAATATTTGTAAGGAAATGAAATTAATCTTTTAACAACTTTGTGAGTAAAAACTGCTTCTAAAAGTTTGACGCCTCTCTGCCTTCTTAAACCAAGTATGCAAGGTACTATTTAACTTCTCCTTAATGCCTCAGGGGTGTTAACATATTTTTGTCTAACTTGATTGACATGCAGCAGTGGCTTTTGAGGGGCCATTTATTTCTAAATAAAATGGTTCACAACCCTTCACTCAGGTATCAGAAGACCTGTCCTATCAGCTTTCACTTCACTCAGCCAAGAGTGTATCCTGCTACGTCTAAAGTTAGGCCTGTCTTACTGTGAATTGTCTGGCCTAAGGAGAGTCTTTTATTCATTTACTTTTTTATTCACGCAATACATATCTACTGATTTCCTACTATGCACGGCACTAGAAATATAGTGAGTAAGAGACAATCACTAAACAAGGTAAAGACCTTTCTGATAGCTACCAGCCACACAAAGGGACTTTGGTTTGGTTTGGTTTTTCCTATTTCCTGGTTAATATTGTTGAAGTCTGTCTTCTCATCCATGATTTACAATGCTTAGAAACATCACAGTCTGCTCCTCTGTTACTGTTTGTTAGTATTTGCATATTGTGGGTAAACAGTTAACAAAATCTTTTGTCTTTCTGCACAAGAATTTTCTCATAGGTTAACTTCCTAGCTCTGTTTCCCTGATAACCTCACAAGCATCAAAAGTCAGGTATGCTTCTAAGCAATGCCGCTTACAATAAAAAGGATGCCTGGTTGATAACCTGTAATTGACTGGGAGGAGTTATAAATGAACCATAAGTACGTGAAGGGGAGGCTTCCCTGGGCTAGGGGATCCTGGCAAGTGGAAACTTGGAGGCTGTGCCCATGGAGTTATTGGCTCTGTGGCACATGAGGGCAGGTGCTACACCTGTCCTGTGTGAGTCTCCCTGCACTGAAGCTGGCATCTGAGAAAACGTGTCTGGATCCTGTGCTGACTGCATGGACTGCTGCAAGGTCTACCCCCTGGCAAGTGGGAAGGAGCCTGCCACTGCCCACTGTCACCTGTGGCTCCTTCTTTCACCCTCTGAGTGGACTCCTGCCTGTGCCTGTCTTCTGAGTCCGAATGTTTCTGGTGGGGACTGCACTTTTTCTTTCTATTCCAGTATCTTTGAAAGTCCGGAATATATAGTAGCCGTCCATGTAACTTTGTTCCACATCATTACATACAGATATAAAATCTAACAAGAGCAACAACACTGAATTGAGTGTCAGATCTAAAATTTGGTCACTTCTAATATTTCCCTCCACTAAGTTCTCAAAAAGCACCTGGTTACTGTAGTGCTTTCCATGTGTGGCCCCCACATTACTAGCACTCTATATTTAAAACATTTCATGGGCATGTTAGTTTGGGGAACTGAAGATTCATTTGAGCATGTCAGTCTTTGGAAATGAAGATTCATTTTTGCAGTAGACAATATTATAATTGGTAGTTACTTTCATCCTACAAGTCTTTCTAATTCAATGCAATAAAAAATAGTCAAAATACTAAGAATTAAAATATGTGGAAACAATACTTAATAATTAATTAGCCATTTTAAAATCAAATGCTTGAAAAAAAAATTTTAAAGATAAAGGGATGGAAGTTTGGGATGATTCTGAAGAGACTATTAAAGTCTCCCAAGAGCTTTGAAAAATGAGCACACTTTCTTTTGCCTGAGTTCATTTTTAAAAATAAGCCTTTTCTTTTCCTTAGTACTGGACAGAAGACAGATTTTGGCTTAACATAAGAAAGAGCTTTCTAATAATAACAGCTGCCCAAGATACAAATGACTGTTTTGAGTGTTAATGGAGTTTTCCATTTCTGAAAATGAAAGGAAGTTAATGACTAAATTATCAGGATCCCTTCCAACCCTGAAAATCTCTGAGATCAGAATTATTTAGTGCTCGTTCTTCCAATAAATCTTTATTGAGAACCTAAGTGCAATGCATAAGTATTTGTGAAATCGGATCCCTTCCAACCCTGAAAATCTCTGAGATCAGAATTATTTAGCGCTCGTTCTTCCAATAAATCTTTATTGAGAACCTAAGTGCAATGCATAAGTATTTGTGAAATGACTGAATGTACTTTTGACTCGCAAATAGAACTCAGTAAGAGAAAAGGAAAATAGAGGTGTCTGAGGGTAACTTTGAAGAATTTGAAAGAAAAAAAAAATGAAAGGTAACAGGAAAGGCCAAAAATAAAATGGAGAATATGTCTTCTAAAAAGAAGTATACCTTAGGATAAAACATGCTTTTTCTGGAAGGAATTTTAGAAACTTCTTGGAATGAGGAATGATTCCTCCATGAACCCAGAAGCAGGACTGAATACAGCAGGTGGTCCTTAGCTCGCTACTGGTCTTTGGTTTACTCCGGTGTGCACACCTAGATCTGAATTGTTCCCAACATTAGAAGGGTTCTTGAGAGACTGTGGAAAAAGAA